ATGGCAATCTGCGCCATTCACGCCACCCGTATTTCGCTGGATATAGAAATCCTGTGAAGACAAAGAACACTGGGGTGAGCTTTAAAAGAGCATCTGCACGACCCAGCTTACCACTCCCCGCCGCTCATGTATTATTCCACCCCTCGACTACGCCTGGCCTGAGCCCATCGTAGAACTTGCCGCATATGTCGGTATGCGATCTACCCTTCTCGTCAATCCCATTGTTAACCGCCCACAGAAACAGATACGCACTTGGGCGCCCATGTGCCACCGCGCCGCTCTGTACATCCTTCTCTCTTTTACTGTCCCAGCCCGCCGCTGACGACTTCCTGGTTCGTAGTCATCCGTCCCGCCTTTTCCCTGGCTTCCGCGCATATCCACCTAACCCCTCTGTGCGTTTATTCTGCCCTTATGATCAGCGCTATTTCTCACCGCCCACGCAGAAACAGATACGCACTTGGCTCGCCCACGTTGTACCACCGCGCCGCTCTGTACGTCCCTTCCATATTTTATTGTCCCAGCCCGCCGCCAACGACTTTCTGGTTCGTAGTCGACCGTCCCGCCTTTCTCCCGCCGCCCGCGCGCATCCATACAACCCCTTCGTGCGTCTATTCCGCTTCCCGCCCTCCGATGGCATCCGCTCACTGAATTCATTCTACTTAGTTTATCCTCTGTCGTTCGTACAGAACATGTATCCTATCTACAATACACTGTATTTACCCCCACCCCGCCCGTTCCCGTCGCTGTCCGACCCCGCGCGCCACCGGGGGCACTCAGCGCCTCAGCGACATGGTGGTCGGGATCAAGCGGAGAAGGATTCAAACTCCGCCCCGGGGCCCATCTTCCCGATCACCGCTCGGAGACCGGTGCGATATCCGAGGGATGATCGGCAAGATGGCGTGCCGCAGTGCACAGCCACTTATCTGATCCTGCTCCCGCCCACCATGTCCCGCCGGTAAGTCATGTCCCGCTCGTTCCCGTAGTCAGTAGAGCTAGTAGTAACGAAATGAAATGTTCATAATGGCGCAGAGCCGCCCTCCGCGTCGTGTTGAGAGCCTAAAAGCGCGTCCTTGGCGCACAAAGTCCAGAGACACCGTAGATACATATAACCGCCCCATGTCCATGTCGGCGCGTACACGACGCTGACGACGTTTGTTATAGCGACGCTGAGGAATACATCGACGACGGCGCAAATGAAATGAGCGCCGACGAAGACGAGGCGCCTGACGACGACGACGAGGAGTCGAACGCGCCGTATAGCGTATACATCAATGACCGCGCCATTGAAGTCAGCGGCGACGAAGACGAGGCGCCTGATGACGACGAGGATTCCACCGAGGCCCAGATCCGCTGCGCCGACGAGCGGGACTTCCAGATGCGCGAGATTGTAGGCACGCATGACCAGCGCCTGCGCTCGCAGGAGCCGTATCGTATCCCGCCCCGCCTACTTCAAGCTTCGGGTGCAGCAACGCCTGCGCGCGGCGACGACGACGACGAGCTGGAGAACGCCGGGGTCCGCTCCCGATCTCCGACTCCCTCGGCTACGTGGACCGCTCCACAACAGCCATTGTCGCGCGCTGCAACTCCCTACGTCCCCGCCGCCCCCGACACTATGAATTCCCGGGCACCCACACCGACGCCCTTCACTGATCACCGAAACCAGACGCCTCTCTTCTTCCCCGACTCCCGCGGTCCCACTCCATTCGCGTACCTGGGCCCGCCTCTATCGCGCGACACAACACCTTCCGCAGCATCCACTTCAGCGCGACCTAAAACGCCTCTCTTCCTCCCCGACTCCCGCGGTCCCACTCCGTATACGTACCTTGGCCCGCCTCTGTCGCGCGACACAACACCCTATGCAGGTCCCACTTCGTCGCCAACTGCATCCTTGGCGCCCCCTGGCCCGCCGGTGTCACGCGACCCGACACCCTACACGCCATCCCCGTCATCGCCTTCTCGCCCAGTATGTCTCAGGTCCAAGTACAGATAAATAACATGACTTATGTTCTATAGCCTCGTTCTCCATCACCGGCACGCGCGCCCTCCCCGCCTCACAAACGCAGGCGCGTTGACTCTCGCACCAGTAGCCCCCAGCCTCCTGCCCCCAGCAAGCTTAAACGCAAAGGCAAGAGCGCGGTTGCCGACTTCTTCGACATGGCGGCGGAAGACTCGGACGAGGACGGCGACGAGGATGATGAAGAGGAAGAGGCGACTTTATCTGACTCGGGTAAGTCATGCATCCGGCTCGCCCATGTCGCACCTGAAGCGGTTTTCCAATAGGCTTCATTGACGACGACCTTCTGGGCGAGGACGCTCCGCATGTTCCTCCCAGTCGTCCCATTCTGGAGGACGACGGCGACGATCTCCGTGCAATCGCCGACCGCTACGAACAAGACGCTGCTCGGTACACACGCGATGCCAGGCGAGAGCGCGAGCGTGCTGAGCACCAGCGCGGTCAGCGCACCTCAATCACAGAACCCGACCTCATCGAACCGGACGAGATTGTCTCTCATATCCAGAGCACAGTCGAAGCCGCAGAAGACCCCACTGTAAACACTGGGGACTGGATTCGTCTCAAGAGAGCACCTCATCGCGACGCGCTAGCCTACGTTATTTCCCCGACACGCGTTCTCCTCGCCAAGCCTCGCGTCGAATATGAGAGCCACTACGACGACGACGAGGACATGCCTCCCCCTCCACCCCCCGAAGTTTGCATGAAGGTAGATCTGCGGCAACCCCTCATGCGCAGAGATCACCCCATGGTCCACCCCACCCGCGACGACTTGGCGCCATTTGAAAGAAGCCATATGCGCTACTTGCAGACGGCCAGGTTTTTTGGCAATAGTGGCTTTGGTCTGATGGAAGGGGACCGTGTCATCTCATACTCTGGAGAACCACAACAACAAGGGCAGCAGGGCTGGATTGGGCGCATCGAGCGAAGACCGGCGGGCTTCTACGTCGCCAAAGTCGGTAGCGTCGCCGACACCGACACGACTCTCGGGACGTGGGTCAGGACGTCAGCACTGGCCCGCCATCTTCTAGATCCCGGCCCCGTTGTGCGCCTCTTGGATCGCGTACACGTCAAATACGGCAGCAGTGCGTTTTGCGATCGTGTTGGTCGAGTTGTGGAGATCAAAGACGAAATGCTCGTCGTGGAGGTGCCAGACAATATAAGTGTCGACGGCATACACGCGGACGGGATGGTGCAAGACAATCTGACTGGCGGCTGGCGCTTCTCCATTCCCGTCCGCGATACCGTTCGATATTTCACCGGTGGGGATCTAGTCGAGGTAGTTCACGGCCCTCTGAAAGGTCGCAGAGGCTTCCTCATTCGTATGCACTACGGCGGCATCTTCGAAGTTTTTGACGATCGGGACCTACCTCAAGGTCAAGAGCCGATGGTGAGTTTCATTCTTCCAATTCTAGTTCACCCGCTAACTAATGCACGGCTTTAGTTCCAAGTCAGGCAGTCAGACGTTGCCTTTGTCAATTTCGACGACTCTGCCGCCTTCTCAGATTACTCCGCATACCAGTACACCGCCCCCAGTGTGGTTAACCCCCCGTTGTCTCAACTCGCCAAGCCGGATCCTGTCGATAAGGATAGCATTCGAACGCGGGTTCAAGCTGTCAGCAAATCTCTTGATGCGCTTCCAGCTGACCAGAAGGACGAAACCGAGGCAGAACACAAGAAGCTGATGGATCAAATGGCGGATTTGACTAAACCCCTGACTATCAAGGGAATCCAGGAGCGCGACCGTCTTGCCGAGGACCGTGCACGCCGCTTGATGAACACCGGCAAGCGGTACGAAGGGATGGAAGTGGAAGTGGTCGGGAAGCACAAGCATAAAGGATTACGGGGCATGGTGGTGGGGGATTACGACAGCGAGACACGGGCAAAGCGTCTACGCTTGGCTGGCTCACTCGCTGGGAGTCTGAATTTCCGCTGGTGGGATTCGCGCGGTATTCTGGTCTCGGTTCGTAATTACAATGGTCTGGTCGTCGAGAAGATACCGGTAGAACGCCTGGTCCTGCTCCGGCGAGACCGACACCAGTACGTTCTTTTATTTTACTTATCTTCGCACCGAGAGCCTCACGATGTCGAAGAGCACGACTTCGCCTTGCAGATGCATACTATCTGCGAGGGGAGCGCCTACCAACCCTGGGTATTCACCGCCCGGTGACTCTGCCTCCGCCTCCGCCTCCGCGTCCTCGTACACCAACCCCGCCGCCCATTGAGGATGAAGAGATGCTTCCCCCCGACGTGGCTGCGCGGCCTCCTCCGGCTCCAGTGCTTGCCGGTATACCAATATTCCCAAGAGACGAAAAGATGTTAAAGCCATTTTTTATTTAGGCGAAGATACCGGCGAATGGTTGTGCATCCCTGCCTTGAAAGGTAAACGCGTGGACGTGTTAATCCGTGGTTTGAGTAGCCCTGCGATTATTGCCCATCGGATCTTCAAACCTAGCAGCAAAATCCTGAAACTCGAAGGGCAAACTGGGTACCTCCTGCTCGCCGAAGCCATTGACCGCAAAGCCCTGGAAAAGAAGATCCAGGTGTATGCTGCCGGTAATGCTTCAGCCCCGCCCAACGGAATTCCGCCCATGTGCATCAAGCCCCGCCGTTTCGAAGACACGGACCCAATCGAACGCATTAGAGGGCGTGTCGTGGTTATCGGGCCCGACATCATGGGAGATGTTGCCGCAAAGGGGTCGTACGCAGAGACCCGACCGTCCACGACACGCCAGTGCGCCCCCGGGGTAGTAGAGGTCAGATTGGAGAATGGCATGATGGGATTTTTCCACTGCTCCAGTCTGTGCCTGGCACGTAACGTTGACCTTCAAACTGCACATGGTACTTATCGCGCGACAAGATTTAGTTATTAGATAGACCGTACGATCGTTTGTAAATACTCTCAGCGCAACCGAGCTAATAATTTTTAAAAAAAACAGACCTTGACCCCAGGGCACAACCTAGATCTAATTCTTAGGTTACTGGCAACGGATCCTTAGTGTAGTGGTAACACACCCGGCAAGATTGAGGTTGAGCCACTTGCATTATTTCTGCGGGAGATCGCCTGTTCAATTCAGGCAGGATCCGTTTTGGCACTTAGCGTAACGATAAGTTAGTTTTGATTAGATAGGGCACAACCTAGATACAATTCTTATACTACTTGCATCGGATCCTTGGTGTAGCGGTAACACACCCACAAAAGTTAAACCATTTGCTTTCTTTCTGCGAGAGATCGCCTGTTCAGTTCAGGCAGGATCTGTTTTTGGCACTTGACGCTAAGGCGGATAAGATTCCGATAAGATACTTTGATTAGATATTGGGAACGGACCGACTTCCGAGCTTTGCGCGTCATCAGTGGCACTGTTTGGTCTGGGCGCCTATTTCGCTCTTGACTTGTAACCACCACCACCGTAAGGCCATTTATAGTAATTATTCCTGTGGTACACAGAAATGTAAGAGAGTTGTGTAGAATAGTTATTGGACCGAACTACATATCACTATTGTCCCTTACGACGTGCGCGTGAGCCTTAGTACGCGTGTCCGACCCTGGAACTGCCGAACGAGCGCCGCGTACCCTTTCTTTTTAGATATCGTTCTTCCTTCGTTTACCTACCACATCGTATATACTAAGTAGATACTTCATATACTCTACCTATCACAATTGGCGCCGCGTCGCGTTCCAAATCAGAATCAATCTAGGTGGCATCAACAAATACACCAATAGTCAGTATGCCTTTGTTAGCCGTTCTCTGACTTACCTCTTCCCGAAGGCGCCATGCCTCGTCTAACGGCAGCTGAACGCCGCGCCGCACAAGAAAAGCCATCCTATCTGGCTGTGCCAGGACCCCCGGTGCCACACCACCTCGCGAAGGTGAAGGAACATATTAGCAGCCGCCCAGATATAGTTCTACCACACGGACGCACCCTTGTCCAACCCCGACTACCGCCCCTCCTTGGATTCCTCGGCCTCGAATCAGAGGACGCCGCCGACGATGGTCGCGCAAACGCTGTACCCATGTCGGATCTGGATCCGCCTTCGGAGCTCGATGTAGACGACCGCGACATTATCGCTCCTGAACGCACCCCGCCGCCACCTGATCCACTACAACACCGACGCAAACGAGCTGCTCAGTGGAAGCGATGGCAGAGTGACATACTGCCCACTCTCCTACCGCACCTTCATCGTGTCCTCCAAGAAACCCACTCCTTTCGGGACCTGGACAACCTGGAGCCATCGAGGAATCCTTGCGGCTGCACTGGCAAGCTTTTGAAAATCGCCATCGTGCACTTCTCATGTGCGTTGTCGCACCATTTCTTGAAAGGAAGAATTGACGAGGCCCCTTAGCTATCGACGACGTGGAACTCAAAGTGTGCGCCTGCGCGCCCGCTCCTGTTCAGCTGATGGAAATGGGCGCGTTCCCCTGCGCACCACTGCATCCATCACTTGCAGTCGACTTGCGCGTCTTGGAGTTTTCGAGGAACTTGTTCCTGCAGATCTCCCCCAACAACACCGCGTTCACCGTGGCACTGGAGCGTGTTTTGGAGAGCATGGGGTTCCAGCTGGATCACCATGTACGTCTTTTGAGCTTGCTTTCTTTTCTCCTCCGTTAATCTTGACTAGAATTCTCTTCGTCGACGATTCGGCAATTGTCTCATGTGGTACACGCATTTGCGGAACCTCTCAACACAACACTACGACGACATGATTGAGGCTGTTCGTCTCGAGCATGTAATGGTCCCCAACGACCCGCAAGAGGAGGCGGATAACGCACCAGATACTCCCCCGCACGACGCTTCACCAGTACCCACTGCAGAGCCACCCGCCACGCCAGTTGGTTCCCCGATCCCAGAACCTCGCGGACGACAACGAAATCGCCGACAGGGACGCCGTACTCGGTCATCCTCCTCTGGGACTCCAACACCAAGATCCCCGGGCCCGGGGCAGAAACGGACAAGGGAACCGAGCGCCGAGCCGCCACCACTGCCCTTTCCAGAGCCACCGCCCCGCGCACGTCCCAGCGAATACCTTCGCCGTCGCTGCCCAGCCTGCTTCGGTAACCTGGTTCACGACGAATCGGCCATGTAAGTCTAGCTGAATGACTCCTGTATCCTAGCTAACCTTTCTTGCAGAGCAGATGTGATGGCGTGCGTAGATGCTTGCTTCACGCAAAAGAAGAACAAGTCAGCTCGCGACCCGCCCAAGACGCACCCCAAGACATACTTCATTCCCGAGGAGTTGGCCGCCCAAACGGAGGCTTACGTCGATGGTGTGCGTCTCAGTTCTGGGGCAGCGGGCGCAACCAAGGGGAAGCGGCGGAAGGTCACAGTCGAGGAGGTTGATGAAGACGACGACTACGATCACCCAGAGCTCCTGGTCCCGCGTTCGGTCATTGACGGCTGCGAGGCATCCTTCAAGGCCGCTGACGAAAAACGCGAGAAAGCCAGTACCGAGTTCTTCGAGGATACAGCGGTCATGGCGCTGCTATGTCGTCACGATCGAGTGCTCTGGCTCATCAACATGCATTCCGCCGGGGAGAAACAATTCAACGTGATCGCCCTCATGGAGGTGTTTTTCCAGCACCTTCCCAAGAAGATTCTAGTCGGCTTTTTGTACGATGTGGCGTGCACCTTGGAGCGGACGTGCCGCAAGTGGGGGTTCCTCTCCCGCTACCTGGACCGCATCGCCTTCGCGGTTTCCGTCTTCCACGCTTTCGGGCATGAATGGGCATGCCAGTTGCTCTATCATCCCCGTAAGCGCGTGGGATTCGGCTTCACGAATGGCGAAGGTTGTGAGCGCTTGTGGCACTCAATCAGCCATTTGATTCCTATCCTCCGCATATCTGGTGTAAGTGCGATTTTTTCTACTATTGACTCTAAGCTAACGACAATTAATCCAGTACCACAACCGTCTGTACACCCTGGATTGTCAGATTCACCATGCTGAGGAGGCGAGCCTCCTGCGTTTAGCTGAGTGGATCCACCGCCGCTATCAGCACAGTGCGAACAAACGAAGGGAAGCCAAAGCGGCCCTCGAGAAGTCCGGGAAGTCGGTGGCGTTTCTGCGCGCGCAATGGTCCCAGCAGGTCACGACTCAGACAAAGCCGCTTCCTCGTACGTCAACCCGCTTTCCTGTTCTGAATGTCGCGCGTGACGATAGCTCCAGGTCGATCTAAAACTCGGGGTCAGCAGGCAGTGAACGCAGTCATGCTCCTGCGGGCGGCTGTGAAGACACGCCAGGAGGGTGTCGACAGGCTCGAGGCAGCTTTCCTCGATGCGGTGGCGGAAGAGCGCGCCGACGCGGCTATCGACCAACTGAGGTTTGAAACGGCCAAGGAAGCCCTCGCGAAGGTCAAAGAAAAGTTGGTCCAGAAGGAGACAGCTTTGGGCGTTACCGACCGCCAGGAACTGAAGAAGCTGACGACCAGCCAGTATATCCGACTTAGGATGAACGCGCGGGCCTTGAAACGTCGGCTACGAGACCGTCTTCGATCTCGTAAGTTTGAGCTCGACAAAGTGGAGCGTTCTTTTCGACGTCTTGTTAACGGTACGTATTGCTCAATGACGAGAAATATAATGTACTTATTGTCACTCAGACCAGAAACTCTATTCGCATACCGAGTCCGCGGTGAAACAACGAGAGCCCACGATTGCAAAGGCTAACACGGAATACAATAAACTGTGTGTGGAAATCGGCAAGTTAATCAAAAGCGGCAAGGCCCCACCAAATGCGGTAGCGCCTCGCCCGATCCCGTCGAAAGAGTTGTGGCAGTTGGATGTGGACGACGGGATCTGGGAGGATGTCGGCTTGGACGACGACGATGTCTTGACGGAGCCTCCGCCCTGGCTGGCTGACGACGACGTTCGGACGGGGATCAAGGCGATGCTTGAGCTAGACCGCGCGGACGAAGAAGACTATCAGCTGAGGAAGGAGAGCGCTTCTCTCCAGGTGTGGTTCGCTGAGGAGTGGGAGGTCGTTAACCTCACATTGGAAGAAACGGGTATGTATTCCCTTTGGGTGTTGATGAACCTGCGACTGATGTGGCAAACAGAATCCGCCGCGGATCGATACCAACTTCAATTAATACGTGACAAGCTAGTACGACTATGCGCCACCTGGCAGAAGTGGCTACCAGACTTTCAAGCAAACGACTTGCCGGAATGGGGCCCGACTCCAGAGCAACTGGCGATGTGCGTTGTTGATGCACATATCGCAGCTCGTGGGGAGGATAGGCACTATGATGAAGAAGTTGATGATGAGGACGAGGAGGTAAGAGCAGGGAACGAGGAGGATTATATTACACTAGATGCAGTAGAGACGGCAAATGTGTACCGGCAGGGGGAGGAAGAATAAATTTCACAGTGGTTTGGCGACGCGTCGGGTACAGTAACACGTGGGCGCGTCTGCGGACCGATTCCCGAAAGCTGCGCAAGATCAGTGATGCTGATGGCCGCAGGCACCTATTTTGCTCCTTGCTCCCGACCACCACAGTGGTTGGGGTGGTCGCGTAGTATAGAATCACTAGTTGTCCAATGTGGTAAACCACAATAAGGAGTACAATGTAAATGTAAATACTAAACAAGGACACGGTGGCTTGGATTAGGGCGCCGACGTTGTAGGTACTGCCGCCGACATGCACAATGCGGGAAACTGACGAAAAGGGAAAACTGCAGGCTGCAGTGAAGAATAATGATGCCACAGACTTGATAGGTGGCTGCCTATAAAAGTGAGTAATTATCTGACTTGATTTGCTCGATAACATTCATAATGCCTGCTCTCCGTACTCAGAAGTCTCACTTACGCGCGCAAGCCATCCACCCCAGGCCCAAACCTCGCCTCTCATCGCCCCACCTCCCTGAGGCCCTTCTTCCTCGTGGTGATCGCGCCTTGCTCCAAGCCGCGCAGGAGGGCGATCGCGCGATGCTCAACGCAGACGTTTCGCGCCTTCAAGATGCCGCCATCGCCGCGCCTTTGGACAAGGTGAAAACGCGGGATTATCTGCATCTACGTGAGTGCCGACTGATACTTCTCATGACTGTCCTTTGCAACTGACTCGCCTTCTTCACCAGTTGATGACTACCAGAATCAATACGGCGATTTCGTTCGTGACGCTGACAACACTGCGTTTCTGACACGGAGGGAGGAAGCCCTGGCGAGTTTGTGGGCGCGCAGAGAAACGATTGGTGAGTGTTCGTGGCATTCCGAGTGTTGCCAAGCTTCTGACCTTTCTTCTTCTATCAGCCCTCACACCCTTGTCCGAC